GTTGGTCAAATTTCCATTGTGGTCTAGGTCATCAGCCAAGTAGATAACACACATAGAAAAGTTCTATTAACAATCATAACAAAATAATGATTAATAGATTTCCCATATCCAAGTTACTTTGATCTTTACTAAGTGTCTACCTTCTAGTCATTGTTTCCGGGTTTGATTACTCATAATAGTCAGGAAACAAGAAGTACCCACCTTCTATCTAATAAAATGCATCATTTTGCTACGTACAGCACAAATGGGAAAACAAGGTCAGATATAACATGCTATGAACCCTGCATTCTTTTATTAGAATTGGCTAATTACCCAAGTTCTAGATGGCAAATGACACAATGTTCTTATTTAACAGCAGGTTCCTCATGTAAGATGTAGAACTGCTTTTAGAGTGCCATAAAATTTGATTTATGCCACTGCTTGCCAAACATTAAATTTCAGCGTTTAAATAGAAAACAAGGATGAACATCTCCTCCAGTCTAAGTATTGTTTTACATTGCATTGAGTGTTTTTGAAAGAATCACATGTTCCTAGAGGATAAGGACATTTCCTAACCTCTTTGTGTTTCTAAAAATGTAAAAGCATAATAACTTCAAAAAAGTTATAAATGAATAAATATGTGAATGATGTCAATATTACCTTACTTGACTATAGTAATCATTTCACTATGTATATTTATATCAAAACATCTTGTTGTACACCTTAAATACACACAATAAAAACTGTTAAAGGTGTAATCAACAAAGTATTACGGATGGCTGTTACCTTAAGTGGGAAGAGATAAGGAGATGAGATAGGAGGATTACATAGCATGTTTTTGTCAATATTCTAGTTTCTATATGGGACTTTGGTGTATGGGTAGGAAAAAAAAATTCTCTCTTAATATCTAAAAGATTTCTCTAAAATCAAACTAAAATCAGTAAGAATATGAACACAGAAAGTAATGACACCTCTAAATGATTTTTTCAATTTGAAGAAACTGCTTTTGAATCATATACAAATATCAGCAAAAATATATTTTTTTATTTTTCTAATGTAATTCATTTTTTCAAAGAAGGACAAGCTACATAAGAAACAAAAAATAAAAATATTCAGTATAAAGAATTGATTAAAGAAAAGTAACTTCATAGAAATAAACATAAATGGTTTGAATAACCATTTTATTTTATCATTTGTAGGGTAAAATAAATGGAGATAACTTAGTCATTTTAGAAATACATTTTTCCATTGTGAACCTCATTTTTAATGCAACCTATAAGAACCAGGTGAAGAAATACTTGTGTGACTCTGTTCTCTGCCCAAAGCTCACTCACATCCAACCATAAACCTTAACTTCACAAACAGGTTTCTCTACATAAGGAACCTAAAGTATATCAGCCAATGGTCTGCTCCTTAATTATAAGCTTTCTTTAAATAAAGTTATAGAAGTTTTCATTAACAGATATATAAGTACATGAAATAAATATTACGTCTCTATTCGTGATCGGGGTAGAACAGAGCTTATCGATTTCCCCACTACTTCCTTCCAAATCCTCTAATATATGCCACATCCAACTTCCAAGCACCACACCAGCAGCTTTTCTTCTGTACAGCAACTCTGTTGGACAACGAACACCTGACATTCAAACACCTTATGCATATGAATGTCTGACTGTTCCCATGCTGAGGTCACAGATACTTCTCTGCAAATCCTGATTAGCAAGAAATTTGACCTGTGTTAATAGCCATTGCATTCATAGAAGGAAATTAAGACATATTTCTCCTTCAGAGTTCTAGGTTGAAACCAGGAAATAATCTTGTAGTAACAACATGGCTTCCAGGAATCCATAGATGTCTATTTGACTCACTATATTCCTGAAATGTAACTCTAAAATCTGTCTTATTGGCAGAGTTAAACGATAAAATTAATTTTAATGATGGGGACAGCTATGTAGGTTAACTCCTAAGTCAAATTACCAAGAGACTTTTTGCCCTGGTCTTCCAGGGAAATAACTTTCCCAGGTATTTTGCATTCATTTTCTCTAAAGTTCAAGACAACCCTATATAGTAGTTACGAAGTTCTACATTTCACAGATGAGAAAACTGAGTTGTCAAAGTTCACAGGACTAGTAAATGCCAGGCCTGACGTATGAATCTACATCTGTCTCAATCTGAAGGCTGCACTCCTTTAATTTTAGATGAACAATTTTAAACTTACCAGCAAACTGGATAATTTTAAAAACCACAAGTTCATTGCAACCAAACAGGCATAATAGAGGTGGTAGATTAATTCAAAAGCCAGTATACACTGCCTTTCACGAACATTTGGAAACTATAAAAAGTCAAATCAAGCCCCTCTTCATCCCCATTTGTTTATCATAACAATGTTACATTACAAACAAAATCCTCTGCCAAAACTGCTTTAAATGCCTGATAGGTTTGTTTATTTTCACCATATTTCTACTTTTTCCCAGAGTACAGACCAGCTCACTTCACCCTACAGTGTGTTACATTGTACTGTGCAGGGGTCTGGAGGTGGAAGTGGATACACAAACTTCTTATTCTGGTCTTTTTGGTTTACAAAAGGTTGCCCAGTGAGGGCCCATAAAGGTTTTTGTGAAGGGCCTACTATTGGAAATATTATCATTTATAGTTTTTGTAAAGGTTTATTCTTAACATCAAAATTATAATTTGAATCTGATGTCCTCAAGTTTAAGAAGACATGATCTACAGTTTAACATAGCTTCAGGAAATTAAGAACTGTTATGTTTAGGAAAATTGAAAAAAAAGCCACAGGTATCATATGTGGAATTAAGTGGATAAAGAAGTGAACTGACTCTCTTTGAATGCACAAATCCCTGGAGGACTCATCTCCAGTAAGCAAGATGGCGCTTATCAGCAGTGGGCCAGGAAAAGCAATCCCTAAGATGAAACAAACAAACAAACAAAAAGTTTGATGGTATGATATAGGGTTATAATTTAAGACTAAAGTGTTAGAAATCTAAGGACCCCAGAATGGCCATTGTGATGAAGCAGCCCAGTGAAAAGGGTTAGAGGGCAGAGCATTAGAGAACAGTGCATACGAGTCACTTGGGGATCATTTTAAATTTCACTTCTGATCATCTGTGAGTTCTGCAGTAAAACCTGCAACTCCCAGGTGACCCAAGGTTGCTAGTCCTCAGATCATACTTGAAGTACTAAGGTTACAGGTTATTTGATTGTATATCAGTGTTACTTACACTCTGTGGTAGAAAAAGACTATACTTAGGAAAAAGTGGCCATGCCACATGAAACTAGGGCAGAAATTACAGGATGGTAGAGTCTGGATGTGTACCTGCCAGGACATCATGGGAAAAGCCTAGCCTCAGAGTCCCCAGCGGGCTCCTACTTGCAATAGACCTTGGATAGGTCTCCTCCAGGGTTAATATTGTGAATTCAGTAACCCATTTTCTTCTCATATGGCCAAAGAGACAAATACTGGCACATGTTAGAGTATCACAATTTCTGCAATAATTTATTAATTTGTTTAGGAATCATGTCTGCTTGCCATACCTCTATGCTATGACTTCCTCTACCTCCCCAATCACTTTTCTCACTGCTTCTGGAAATGCTTCAATATGGAACAAAAACTCTTGAATCCAAATCTGTAAATAGCTTTAAATGACAGAAAGCACAAACAATAGTCTTCTGATTAGAACTAGTTTGTAGACCCATGCATTCCTTCTCTCAGGAGAGCATGCATTGCTCAGGCCTCTCTGTTCTTTCTAACATCTACAGTTTCTCCATTGTGCACACTGAATTGTAAAAAGAGTGGAAATTCATTTCTGTTCTGTGGTTATATTACCTCTCTACTCATTATATATAGAGCCTGATGGTGAATGTGCCATTGGCAAACTCTCCATACAGGCATTGAAATCATACAAGCAGGACAGATATCGATGATGCTAATGAGAAGAGCACCTGTCTCTTCCTGTTAGCAATTATACTTAGTTGTCTCTTTGCCACCCACAATTCTTTCTCATGCGGCTTTTCAAAGAATCCTCTGCTTCTCCATCTCTCAATAGCCCTCAACAATATGGCCTTATATAAAAGTCTGATAGAATACAGTATCAAAGTACAGAGCTACTTTAAAACATATCCCTATATAGAATGTGAAATATAGAATGGTTCACTCTACTAACGTGTGTAAAGAAAATAAGTTGAGCTGGTTGGTAATTCTTTCAAATATCCAAACTCTCCCTCTGTCATCCCCACACATCCACCCACCCTCCCATGAACACGAATGATTATTAGTCATGGACTGCAGGAAAAACAAGGGCATGGAAGACAGACCCTGTCCTTAAGATATTGTTAGTCTCTTAAGTCATATCAAATTTTCCATTTAAACACTCACTAATTTACTAAATCCTCAGTGAGCACCAATGATATACCAGACACTGTGCTAAGTGCTAAGAATAACTATGAACAAGACTGACATGGGCCCTGCCTTTCCAAACCTCATGCTGCAGTGGGGGAGACATAAAAAAGTTGCACAGCACATGACCTAGCAGCTAAGAACCAAAGAGGGACAGAGACACTGTTGCAGTAGTTCAAGGAGGCAAAAACCCATGTCCCGATGGAGTAGTCAGGGAAGGTGCTAGGAAGCAGTAAAACTTGACTGAAACTGAAATAGGTAGAAGGAGTTCAAATACTCCAGGCCTTCTAAGATGCCAGCTAGTTCCTGGTGGGGGTGGGGATAGAAAAACTTAAGAGATATTTCCTAGCCGAAGAAACAAGTCTTGCTGAAGTAGAAGTTTCTGTTGTGCGTTTTTCCTTAAATTAGGTAATACCTACAGTTGGGAGTGCTTGGCTAGGTGCAAGGGATATAAGAATTCATAAACATCATCCTGAAGCAACAATTTCCCTAAATGATAATTTAATACGCGTGGGTGTGTATGTGTATGTGTAATGGAATGTAAAATTTGCATGAATGTTTAAGATGTAACAGAAGACTTCACAGATATGTTTTTTTTCTGTATCAGGTCACTTTGGCCTCTACAGCCATGCCATTCCACGACTGCTAACACACCGCAGTTTCTCTTCTATATGTTGAAGAATTTGCTGATGGGAAGGACGAAACCCTGCTCTTCTGAGAAATGAGATATATATCAGGAAAATTGGCTTGAGTCATTATATGAAAGGCTAAATACCAGACTAAGGATTTCAGGTTTCATTGATGATGTTGGAGTACTGAATACTTTCAATCTGAGCCAGGACTCATGAAAGCAGGTAATGACTACATTTCTGAGTCTCATTGGTTGTAAATGGGGGGACATGGATACTACATGGGTCTTTATCTGAGGGCCAGATATGAAAAAGGAAACATAAGAAAGGACAAATTAAATAGATACAGGCAAGATATATGCACAGTATGGTGTTCCTGGAGCAGGTAAGAGGTACCAGGTATATGTGGTCTGGGTACTGCACACCTAAGGTGCTTGGTAAAAAGCATCAGAGTCCTAGGAACACTAAGAACATGCATGGTTCAAGCTTGATTTCTTCCTAGCAGGTGGAGAGTAGGAATTTTTCTCCCCATGTTGGTATCAGCCTTGGATCAACATGGAAATTACCAGTTGTGGTTTTTCTCACTGCCAAGTCTCAAGGTGAGATGAGGTGAGAGAAGCAGCCACCTGGGTCAGCCCCAGATTTAAATTGCTAATTTTTGCATGGAGGCAGAAGAAAGGAGGAACTGTGAGGGATTATCTCTGCATTTAAGAAAGAAATTGTGGCCTTTTCTTCTAGATATTCTGGGGAATTGCGATTGGACTACTACTTGGAAGGATTTCTCCAGGATATACCCCCTAAGTGGGTAGGAAAATGACTCTCTAAATAGAGTCCCAAGTTATCTTAGGGTCTCTTTGCCTAACGTGTCTCTCTCCATCCCACTTCCATCCTAGAGTGGGGCATGGCCCTGTGTAGGCAGAAAACATTCTCTAGGCCAACTGTAGATGTTCCTGAACACAAAGCATCTGGTGAAGCTCAAGGCCACTGCTATGCAATTGACATATAAAGTCAGCCACAATTGCAAGCCACATATGTAATTTTGAATTTTCTAGCGGTCACATCAAAACTGAAAAATGAAACAGATGACATTTATTTAATAATATGTATTTTTTAACGTAATATATCCAGACTATTATAATTTAAATGTGTTATCAATATAAAAATTATGAATAAGACATTTTCAGTCCCATTTTTCTAAGTCTTTTTGCACTGTTTCACCAAACAGCACATCTCAATTCAGACTAGCCACACTTCCAGTGTGCAATAGCCATGTGAAGTTAATAGCTAGTGTACTGGACAGGCAGCTCTGATGGATGGATCTTGAGCCTGTACATGAGAGTGATGCCTCCAGGGCATTCCTAAGATAATCAAAGTCCAGAAATACCAAGTCTCTTGCCAGAGCTCACACAATGTGTCAGAAATCGAGCCAAGCCTAGATCAGAAGTCTGCAAATACTAATGTACCCTGGCTTCTCTCTTCTTCACAGTCGCAGCTAAGGCATCACTAGGCTCTCCTAATTCTTCGGAACCTTCTCACATTATTTCTGTCCCTTCTAGCTGCTAACACCCTACTCAGGCCCCAAGTGCCTACTCACTATGGCAGTGTCCTCCTACTTGATGTGCTTGCTTTTAGTTTTCCCTTCCAGACCCTCCTGCAAAGACTGAATTTAGCACACTTGTGATTAAAATCACTCTGCAATGAGTCCCTGTTTAAAACACATATAGAGAGAGACTTGATTTTAGAGCAATCTTAAGTATACAGAAAAACCGAATAGAAAGTAAAGAGTTCCCATATACCCTCCCCACCTCATCTCAGCCTCACTACCCCACCCTGTTAACCCTGTTGTTGCATCTTGCATTGGTGAGGCACCTTTTTTATAACTGATAAAACACTATCAATACATTATTATTAATTAAAGTCCATAGTTTACATTAGGGCTCACACTTTGTGTTGTACAATTTTGTGAGTTTTGGCAAATGTATAATGTCGTGTATCCACCATTACAGTATCACACAAAAGTGTTTCACTTACCTAAAAATCCCCTTTGCTCCACCTGCTCATTTTATTCCTAAACTCGGCTAAAACCCTTGGCAACCAAAGATGTTTTTGCTGTCTTTAGAGTTTTGCCTTTTCCAGAATATCATATAGTTGCAAACATACACATGTCGAATTTTCATTTGACTTATTTCACTTAGGAAAATGCATTTAAGGTTCCTCTTTGTCTTTCCATGGCTTAATAGCTCATGTCTTATATAGAATAATATTCTGTTGTCTGGATGTTCCAGTTTGTTTATCCATTTTGTAGATTACATTAAATTTTCTTTTTTTGTAACAGGAGAAAAGGGTGCTTGTTTTTTCTTTTAATTTTTTATTTTTTTTATTTCAATAGGTTTTTGGGGTAACTGGAAGTGTTTGGTTACATGAATAAGTTATTTAGTGGTGATTTCTGAGATTTAGGTGTACTCATCACCTGAGAAGTGTACGCTGTACCCAATGTGTAGTCTTTTATCCCTCACCACTCCCCACCCTTTCTCTGGAGTCCCCAAAGTCCAACGTATCATTCTTATGCCTTTACATACTCTTAGCTTAGCTGCCAAATATGGGTGAGAACATATGATGTTTGTTTTTCTTATTCCCGAGTTACTTCACTTAGAATAATAGTCTCCCGTTCCATCCGGGTTGCTGCAAATGCCGTTATTTCATTCCTTTTTATGGTTGCATAGTATTCCAAAGTTTCTTTATCCACTCATTGATTGATGGGAATTTTCTTTATCCACTCATTGATTGATGGGAATTTGGGCTGGTTCCTTATTTTGAAAACTGCAAATTGTGCTGCTATAAACATGCTATGTGCAATTTTCATATAACTTTTTTTCTTCTGGGTAGATACCCAGGAGTGGGATTGCTGGATCAAATGGTAGATCTATTTTTAGTTCTTTAAGAAATTTCCACACTGTTTTCCATAGTGGTTGTACTAGTTCAAATTCCCACCAACAGTGTAAACATGTTCCCTTTTTACCACATCTATGCAAATATCTATCTTTTTTTTTTTTTTTTAACAGCCATTCTTGCTGGAGTGAGGTGGTATTGCACTGTGGTTTTGATTAACATTTCCCTAATAATTAGTGATGTTGAGCATTTTTCCATAGGCTTGTTGGAAATTTGCATATCTTCTTTTCAGAATTGCATATTCATGTCATTAGCCCACTTTTTGATGGGCTTGTTTGTTTTTCTTACTGATTTGAGTTCTTTATAGATTCTGGATATTAGTCCCTTGTTAGATTGTGAAGATTTTCTCCCACTCTGTGAGTTGTCCATTAACTCTAGTGATTATTTATTTGGCTGTGCAGAAGCTTTTCAGTTGAATTTAGTCCCATCTATTTATCTTTGTTTTTGTTGTATTTGCTTTTGGGTTTTTGGTTCTTTGTTGCATTTACATTTGCTTTGGTTCTTCGGTTCTTGGAAGTCTTTGCCTAAGCCAGTAACCAGAAGGACTTTTCCAATGTTATCTTCTAGAATTCTTATGTTTTCAGGTCTTAGATTTAAGTCTTTGATTCATCTCGAGTTGATTTTTGTATAAAGGGAGAGATGAGGATCCAGTTTCATTCTACATATCCTTTCCCCATTTTATGTTTGTATTTGCTTTGTCAAAGATCAGATGTCTGTAAGTACTTGGCTTTATTTCTGGGTACTCTATTCTGTTCCATTGGTCTATGTCCCTATTTTTATACCAGTACTATGCTGTTTTGGTGACTATGGCCTTACAATATAGTTTGAAATCTGGTAGGGTGATGCCTCCAGATTTGTTCTTTTTGCTTAGTCTTGCTTTGGCTATGTGGGCTATTTTTTGGTTCCATATGAATTTTAGGATTGCTTTTTTTTAGTTCTGTGAGGAATGACGGTGGTATTTTGATAGAAATTATGTTTAATTTGTAGATTACTTTTGGCAATATGGTCATTTTCACTATATTGATTCTACCCATCCATGACCATGGGATGTGTTTCCATTTGTTTGTGTCATCTATGATTTCTTTCAGCAGTGTTTTGTACTACTTCTTGTAGATCTCTTTCACCTCCTTGGTTAAGTGTATTCATAAGTATTTTATTTTATTTTATTTCAGTTATTGTGAAAGTGGTTGAGTGTTCTTGATTTGATTCTCAGCTTGGTCATTGTTGATGTATAGCAGAGCTACTGACTTGTGTACATTAATTTTGTATCCTGAAACTTTGCTGAATTCATTTATCAGTTTTAGGAGGTTTTAAGAGGAGTCTTTTTTTTTTTTATTATATTACTTTAAGTTCTAGGGTACATGTGCACAACAGCAGGTTTGTTACATATGTATACTTGTGCCATGTTGCTGTGCTGCACCCATCAACTCGTCATTTACATCAGGTATAACTCCCAGTGCAATTCCTCCCCCCTCCCCCCTCCCTATAATAGGCCCCGGTGTGTGACGTTCCCCTTCCCGAGTCCAAGTGATCTCATTGTTCAGTTCCCACCTAAGAGTGAGAACATGCGGTGTTTGGTTTTCTGTTCTTGCAATAGTTTGCTGAGTATGATGGTTTCCAGCTGCATCCATGTCCCTACAAAGGACACAAATTCATCCTTTTTTATGGCTGCATAGTATTCCATGGTGTATATGTGCCACATTTTCTTAATCCAGTCTGTCACTGATGGACATTTGGGTTGATTCCAAGTCTTTGCTATTGTGAATAGTGCTGCAATGAACATATGTGTGCATGTGTCTTTATAGCAGCATGATTTATAATCCTTTGGGTATATACCCACTAATGGGATGGCTGGGTCATATGGTACTTCTAGTTCTAGATCCTTGAGGGATTGCCATACTGTTCCATAATGGTTGAACTAGTTTATAATCCCACCAACAGTGTAAAAGTGTTCCTATTTCTCCACATCCTCTCCAGCACCTGTTGTTTCCTGACTTTTTAATGATTGCCATTCTAACTGGTGTGAGATGTATCTCATTGTGGTTTTGATTTGCATTTCTCTGATGGCCAGTGATGACGAGCACTTTTTCATGTGTCCGTTGGCTGTATGCATGTCTTCTTTTGAGAAATGTCTGATCATATCCTTTGCCCACTCTTTGATGGGATTTTTTTTCTTGTAAATTTGTTTGAGTTCTTTGTAGGTTCTGGATATTAGCCCTTTGTCAGATGAGTAGATTGCAAAAATTTTCTCCTATTCTATAAGTTGCCTGTTCACT